CTAGAATAACGGGGTCTTTTCTGTTCTTGGAGGGAAGGTTATGGTCTGACTTCTGACCACACGGCAAGGCTGTACCCCAGTGGCTGATGGGTAAAGGCACCTGAACAAGGATACCTGTCTAGCCCTCAGGAGCCTCAGGGAAGTGGCAGGTGGTGTTTACACCTCAACCCCAAATGCGTGTGGCCCCCCCCATTTCTTAAGAAACAGTTGCCTCCAAAGGGGAAGGAAGTTGGCAACGTGCCTTTGAGCAAAGCGGGTGGAAGAGACAAGCGTTTGGTGAAGGTGGTCACAAGGAATGCTCTGGGATGGGCAGTCCCCCCCCCAGGGCAGGCCCCAGCCACACAACCCCCCCCCCCCCCCGGGCGGCCTCCCAGACCCCGCTTCTCCCCGAAACCATGGTGCCTAAGAAGCAAGAGGCCACAGTATCTTCACCTTTGTGTTTGTTTCCTTTGAAACCTTTCTACCAGGCTGTCACATACATACGCCAACCCTTCACACACAGGCTGCACAGTCCTCCAGGCGGTTAGATGCGAGTACTGGGGGTGACCCACCCACCCATCTGGAAGAGAGAAAAAAAACCCTCAACCCCCACTGAAAACTCTGCTGATCCTGCACTCTGGCCCCAAAGGCCTTCCCCTCCAAAGGCTGTGCCCCCTTCTCCCTGGCTGCCCCCCTGAACTCCCAGAGCCCCCCACGCGACCAGCACTCCCACCTACGCACCTCTGCTCCCACCAGGCCCCCTCCCCCTGTGGTCAACACCAACCCAACCTTCACATCTCGGCAAGTCTCTCCCCGCCCTCCCCTGTGAACTAGATCAGGTCCCCTGTCACATATGCTCACACCTCGTTCCTCCCACACTGCATGGCGCCCATTGCTGTGACCGTCTGTCTCCCCACGTCACCGAAAGCCCCGCCAGGCAGGAACTGGCTCATGTCGTTGGGCCTGCACACCCAGTGCCTAAGCGCAGGGTGAGAGGGGTCCCAGGCCCCCCGAAACATGCGAGTCCCTGAACCACACTCCGGGGCCATATCCAGCCCATCACCTGTGGATACGCCTACACGCCAGGAATGGTTTTTATGCTTTTAAATGGTTGAAAAAAAAAAATTCAAAGAACAGTATTTTGTGACATGTGAAAATCACATGAAATTCAAATTTCGTAGTCCATAAGTAAAAATTACAGAAACACTGTTAACGCTCATTTTATGGCTGTTTCTGGACCATGACAGCAGAGGAGTCAGACGGTGTGGTGGCAAGACCTAAAATATTTTCCATGCGGCCCTGGACTTAAAACACTCACCCACAGCTACACCAGTGTCCTGGGTGCCCAGCCAGGGGCGTGAAACACCAGAGCCCGAAAATCAGGACCGACTGTGCTCTGGGTGGGCCGCACCCTCTCTGCATAGCTGATGCCTGTTGTATTCAGTGGGTGCTCACAGCATGCCACAAGGGGAGAGCGTCACTGGATACACTGGGAGATCTGGCTCACCCTCCCAGAGGGCCAAAGCCCTCCCCAAACCAGCGCTTACTGGGCGACCACCCTGTGTGCTCTCACTGCACACATACCCACTGGGGCACCTCCTCTGCATGGGTACCGCTCAGGAGGTCAGGATGCAAACTTCAGGAGCGGGGTGCAGACCACACCATAAGGAGCACTGGGCCAGGCAGCAGGACTGGGCAAACCACTGAGGTACCGCACGTAGGACACCGCACCTGCCTTTAAGGAGTGTCCTAGCTGGGCCGCCCTGACAAACCCCTGAAAAGCGAAGTCTGGACCAAAGATCTAAGTAACACTTTGAGACCCCTGAGTGGATGCCCTCGGGCAGGACAGCTTAGTGGCGCCAGGAAGGCAGGGTTCCCCACCTCTCTTCTGTGTGGGACATACAATGATGACCCAGGCTGACAAATGTTTGCCACTAAGCTGCGAGTGGTTTCAACACCAGAGAATGTGCATCCTTCCCAGGAAAAGTGGGTTCATGACTGGGTAGTTACGTGTGACTCAGAAACCGACCCCTTGTCCACTTGAGCACCAAACGGCCCCAAGAAAGGGGTGGAGGGCGGGGAATTGGTCCTTGACAGGCTGACGCTGCCCCTTGTTCCAGGGCCTGCAGAGGCCCGGCAGAGGAGGCTAGTTCCCGCTCACACTTTGTCCCCCATCAGTCACACGCTGGCCTCCCTCCAGAACTGTCCCCTGCTCCTCACAGCCCCGGAAAGCCCGGTGAGCAGCACACTCTCCTCACCGGCCCCAGCACCACTGGCCTCTCTGCCTGATCGCCCTGGCAACTTCCAAATGTAAAATGCCCCCGCTGCTTTCTCACCACGTGAGGGGACAGAAATCAAAGGCAGTAAAGGGAAAAGCACTACACCTTATCTCATCCCAAAGCACTGACGTCCTAACACGATTACACACTCTGCATCTCAGACCCTCACTATTCCCGGAGTGTTGACTTTCAGGAAGGGTCTCAATCTAGCTTCCCAATCTCCGGCAAATCCCAGCCCCTCTCTGGCCTCTGTTCCCTCATCCGTAAAACAAGGCGCTGGACCAGATCCCCGAGTTCAGCAACAGAGAAGCTTAGCAAGAAATTCCAGTATCAGCTTTCATTAAGACTCAAGCAGTAAAACATTTCGAAAAAGCCCAACGAAACCACAGCTTTGCCAGGGAGGGCGGAAAAGACGCTTTAAAACAAGAAACACATGATAATGCAATAAGCAAATTGCTGATTTTTCTTTTCTAAGTCATCTGTCCAGGAAAATGGGTATCTGTAAAATGATATGCAACCAGCTCAAGCCTGAGCAGGGCTTTGTCCTCAGTAGCCTAAGATCCTCCCTGCAGATCAGGGGCTCTCCCCTAGCCGAAGATGCTTACAGGTCCTGACAGGTGACAAGGAAGATAAATGACTTCTCCCCACCTTACCACCACGGAAGTTTTACTCCCACAGCTCAAAAGGAATTCCCTACACCATCCTTCTCAAAGCGTGCCCCTACTCCGGAAGCCCAAGTCTCCACAACTCCCTTCTTTTGGGAAGCCTTGCCTGTGTTCCAGTTCCCACTGTTTCTGTAAAGCAGACCCTCAGCGACTAGTCAACCTTCCATATTCCTCAGTCAGGAATCCACATGAAAACTGATTTCCTTTTTTAAAAATATTCTGAACACACAACAAGATGGACGGAACGCTATAAAGCGCCCTGGGGCACCCACCACCCAGTCCTGGAAATAAACACTTGCAAACACACTGGACGCCTGCCTCATCTTCCTATGCGGCAAGTCCATCCCGAATCCAGGGCTCATCCCCCTGCCGCTCTGCACTCACCACACCGCACAGACAGCCGCGTGAGCTTCATAGCCTTTCCACCAACGGTGCCGTCCGCCTGCAATCACTCTGTACCGTCTTCGTGCCCCGTTTTATGCGAGCTAATGTTTCAGCTGTCAACTCTTCATGCTCACCACTGTATAAACATTCCGTTACGTGAATATGCCACACACTCGGCCAAAGACGCTACTCGTCATTTCGTACGGCTGCCATGCAGGGCCAGACGTTCCCACCACATTTCCAGAATGCTCACAACCCCCTAAGGAGGAAAGTGAGCGTCCCACTGGACCAGAGGGGGCTGGGACACACAGGGGGCACACACTGCCCAACACACGTGCATGGCAGACCCACACGAGTTCAGGCCACTCGGCTCTACGGCCACCGTCTTCACCTGAACCTCCAAGCCCCATGGAGGGACGAACCTCCATTACTCACATTTCTCTCAAAGAGAAAATGGACAGAGGGCTCCAAAGTCAGCTGAGAAAACCTGAAACAGGATGCTCCATTTTCTTTGTTAACAAACAATTCCACAGGAAATCCATCTGACACAGATTGCCCGCATGCACAGTGAGGACAAGCCCTTCTCTGGCAGAAGTCCCTGTGCGCTCCCTGGAGTCATTCCCAAGTTTATACAAACGGTTTCCAAGTCAGCCGGAGTTGTACTGCAACCCTGCTTGGCTTCCCCTGCAGAAGCAGGCTGTCTGCACCCACTCAGATGGCGTGGAGGGGCCGGAAAGAACCCAGGAATCAAAGTCTGCCTGAATGGCAGCAGCTGAGCTGACATGGCTCTGAGATGACCTCGGGCAGCAGCCCCAGCTGCTGCGTGCTCTGGAGGCCCGGGAACAGTCCTGGGCTTGAACGGCCAAGGGAAGCAGGCACAGCCCACTCTGCTCTGCACTTGGCCTGGGAGAGCGCTCAAACAGGCCAGCCCAGCCCTGTTGCCCCGGAGAAAGCCCAGCCTGAGGACTAAGGGTGGGGGCTCAGAGCCCCCAGTCAGGGAGCCAGGCCAAGAGAGAGGTGTGAGCTCCTGCATGAGGGCCCCGAGGGCCCTGGGGAGAGGAGGGGACCCCCCCAGGCCAGGGGAGGCCTCCAGGCACCAGCACCAGGACTCTCCATCGATCTTCCACGCGGGGTTTCTCTGCCACAGGGTGAAGGAAGCCTCGCATGGGCAAGGCAGAACGGGCTGAAGAAACCCCCTCCCACGTCTCCCAGCGAAGTAACGAGCAAGAGAACAGGCTTGGCCACTTACAGGCTGTGCGACCTTCCCTTCGCTGAGCGCCCCTGCCCTACCGTGCACTGGCTGCAGGGAATTACCGGGGAGGGCCCTGCCCCCTCCGACCCACCCCCCCCCCCAGGAGAATCCCCGGGCCCCCCCCCCCCCCCGCCTCCGCCCCGTTACAGAAGTGGCAGCGGAAGCACCAAGGGGTCGTGACCTAGGCAGGTCCAGAAGCCTGCAGGCGCCAACAGCTGGGACGGCTGCGCTGGGCGTCCACGTCGCGCGTGGGGGAGCCCAGGTGAGGGGCGGAGGAGGGGTGCCGGCACCGCTCAGCCCGCAGCCCCTGGGGGGAGATAGGGGGACAAGCCCGGGTGCGCCGGCCCGAGGCGGGAGGGCGCGCGGGGAGAGGGAGGCCGGCAGGGCGGCGGCGGAGAGGGCCGGGGAGAGGGGCGCCAGGTGCGGGCTCCGCGCTCCCACCTTGAGCACCGTGACGGCGCCCGCGCTGTGCACCTGGAAGTGCGCGGGCGGCTCGGTGCCGGGCTCGGCCGCCTCGTCGGGGCCCTGGTAGCTGAAGCAGGCGTCCGCGATGTCCAGGTGGCCGAGGGGCAGCGCGTCCTGCGGGCTCTTGAAGTAGTAGAGGTAGCAGCGGCGCGCGTCGAACACGAACCAGCGGCTGCGGTAGCCGCGCAGCGGGCCCTTGCCCGACAGCTTCTGCAGGTAGCCGCACAGCCGCGCCGGCTCCCGCTCCTCCTCCTCGGCCCGCGCCCCGGGGCCCGGCATCGCCGCCGCCGCCGCCGCCGTC